CACCTGTCTCCCGGCCCTTGGGACCAAGGGTGCTGGCGAGGCATCGGTGCTAATATAACACTCCTATTCTATGGTGTCATGATTACTTAGAACTCATTCTCACCAGGCGTGCTTCACTTCACTTTCATAATTTTATTAAATATATGTCCTACGCACCTTTAGAGTGTAGAATCTTAGGCCCTTTTACAGCCATTTAACATAACTATTGCTCCGATCCGATATCATTTCCTGGCGCTCTTTGGCCATCAATGGCCCTTGCGCCATTAAACAAGATGTATTATCATCATCATCATCATCTTTTTTTTATCAATTCGCTCAGAGCTGTGATCATATAATGATCTTCATGTGAAACATTTAGATTGTAAGACAGACAGGAAGACCACTAAATGGTTGGAGATGTACTGGAGGGGATTAACACTACCAGGTCATCATCACCAGTTTAAAATAGAATAGCACTTATGATAGAACATTGAGAAGGTATCAACATTTATAGTGACTGTGCGTTGGTGAGTGTTCATCACTTTGAAGTGCTACTAAGAACGGAGACTTTAGCAGACACAGAACGGGGCGCTACTGTCAACTGAAAGTAATGTGCAAATGATGCCCCCGTCAGCATCATCATCAGCCTGACTACGTCCACTGCAGGACAAAGGCCTCTCCCATGTTCCGCCAGTTAACCCGGTCCTGTGCTTGCTGCTGCCAATTTATACCCGCAAGCTTCTTAATCTCATCTGCCCACCTAACCTTTTGTCTCCCCCTAACGCGCTTGCCTTCTCTGGGAATCCAGTTAGTTACCCTTAACGACCAGCGGTTTACGCGCTACGTCCCCGGCCCATGTCCATTTCTTCTTTTTGATATCAGCAATGATATCCTTAACCCCCGTTTGTTCCCTAATCCACTCTGCTCTCTTCTTGTCTCTTAAGGTTACACCTACCGTTTTTCGTTCCATTGCTCGCTGCATCGTCCTCAATTTAAGCTGAACCCTCTTTGTAACGTAATAGAGCGGTTGACTGGGCTAGTTGGTATGGCATACTTGGGTTTTAGCAGCGCGAGAAAAGCACAAAAGACAAGAAAGGGACGAGACAAGCACTGACTTCCAACTAAAATTTTATTGACGGGAAGACCGTTAATATGCAATGGAGCACAAAGAGTGAAAAAAATGACGTATTTTAAGATACAAATTATCAACTAACGCCATGCCTGCTGCGCCTACCCTCGCATCTCAAGAAACATATCTCTTTATCTGAAAGGGCAACTGAAGGCTTGCTTACACATGCGCTGTTTTCAAGCTCCATTTGAGCAGCCTCATAAATTATGCGCACGTTTTCCTCTTTAATCTTGCATAGAACTGTTGTTTTTTCAAACAGCGGAGTGCACCCACACGTGCTCACGTGTTGCGCTAAGAAGCCATCTTTTCCGCCACGAACATTATTGGCATGTTCCCGTAAGCGATCGTTAAGGCATCTGCCCGTCTGGCCCACATAACATGCACCGCAAGAAAAAGGGGTCCTGTAAACGACGCCTAACGCGCAGTCCACAAACTGCGTCCTGTGCCTCACCATACACCGTTTTCTCATACTCTTTACGGGGCAGGTCCTGTTTGTCAGCTGGGACAACTTATCAGGGGCACTGAAGACCACTTTCACATTGAGGCGCTGTCCTATTTTCTTTAGGCGGTGTGACACAGAATGCATGTACGGAATAACCGCTACCTTTTCCCTCTTCTCCGCTGTGGTGCCATCACTGTTGCAAACAGTGCCCAATCGTTTCCTTTTTCTGTGTATTGCCTCCGCCACGGAAATGAGCAAAGTGCGAGGGTACCCTTGTCTGTGTAAGCAAGCCTTCAGTTGCCCTTTCAGATAAAGAGATATGTTTCTTGAGATGCGAGGGTAGGCGCAGCAGGCATGGCGTTAGTTGATAATTTGTATCTTAAAATACGTCATTTTTTTCACTCTTTGTGCTCCATTGCATATTAACGGTCTTCCCGTCAATAAAATTTTAGTTGGAAGTCAGTGCTTGTCTCGTCCCTTTCTTGTCTTTTGTGCTTTTCTCGCGCTGCTAAAACCCAAGTATGCCATACCAACTAGCCCAGTCAACCGCTCTATTACGTTACATTTCTAGTCAAACGGGCTCTTTTCTCTGTGTTCCTTTACATCCATCCGTGGTGATCACCCTCATCGCCATCGCAACATGTCGCGCTCGTGCCTTTACCTTTTGCATTCGCTCGAAGCAGCTGCCCCCGGAGGTGAAGCTTGTTTTTGGTGGTTTCCAGCCCTCGAATGGCCATGGCACGAGGGTGTGCAAGATACTCAGGGCGGAATGGCTCCGGCAAGCAAGAATGTACAGGGATGCACTGTTCCTTCCTCTTCTCCATGATCAACATGTCATGCACAAGAAAACAAGATGGCGAGAATACACAGGCCGCATTGACCATGTGGTAGACTATCTTTGGCAAGGTGAATTACGGAGGCTCCGGTCCCAGTTTTCAACGACGCGACGTGGCTCTACTGGTGTCGTTCATACGTATGGTGACATAGGCCTCCCAGACTTCGTCATGAAGACGTTGGGTCTAGGTCCAAAGTTCGCGGTTGAGAAGAGGCGGACACCCACTGAACTTTTGGCCACTGTGCGCCAGGTCGCGAACTGTGCTCCACCAGAAGACACCGACAGATGCGTCTCAGAAGGCCTCGACGTTCTTTTAAGGGGTAAGCCAGCTAACAGTGGTGTACCAGTAGGTAAAGTTGCTGCTTACCTCATAGACAATGCTCTTTGTGTTGTACCTTCGGACAAAGAGGGAGGGTTTGCTGTGTTACCGAGAGGCCTGTACTTTGAAAAGGCCCACCAAGCAATTTCGTCCGTCTTTCGGGTGTGCGAAGGCATTAATCTCGCTAAAATCAGATCGAGGGCGAAGAATCTGTGCTCCGAGTTAGATTTGCCGGTTCTGGCGCGAGAAATCGGCAAAAGTGACAAGCTGTCCTTAAATATGTTTTTCACAACCAAGACTCACAAAGAAGGAGCACCTTTCCGCACAATCGTTTCGGAAAGGAATTCTTGGCAGTATGAACTAGGGCGGTTTTTGCAAGATAAGTTGAAATTGTTCCCTGTAGAAGACCCCTTCAGAATATTCAACTCTGGAGAAGTCGTCAACTTTCTGAAGCAGCATCCAGGCGCGAGGTTTAGAGCTTTTTCGATTGACATAAAAGACCTTTATTATTCCCTTCCGCACGAAGGTTTGTTAGCATGCATTGATGAATGCATTGACAGTTTCGGCGCGGTACCATTTCAGAACACCACGGGTATTTCGTCCAAAGGTTTCTTAGAACTTTTATCTTTGTACATCACATCAACGTTTGTAGAATGGAACGGAAAAACATATATACAGAAAGAAGGTGTCTCAATAGGATCGTCCATAGCTCCTTTTCTAAGTGACTTGCTATTAGCCAAATTTGATAGGGCATTGAATGTGAAGCTTGGTGAACTATCTGTAGTAAAGACCTTTCGGTATGTGGATGATTATCTGTTAATTTTGAGGTGTGATTTAGAGACCTTTCATTCCAAGGTCATGCAGGTGTTGCAAATCTTTCGCGAATGCCTCTATCCACTCGTGGTGACGCACGAGATGCCGGAAAGGGATAGCATCCGCTTTCTTGACCTAAAGATTTCTTTTTCGGAGAACCACACGTGCTGGTGTTACGAGCCTCGCTCGCAGAAGCCTGTTCTTCCGTTCTCGTCTGCGCATAGCAAATTAGTAAAGAGAGGCATTGTTCAATCATGTTTTCACAATGCTTTAGAGAGGTCGTGTCACCACGTCTTAGAAGCTAGTCTCTTGGCACAGTCGGAGCGCCTTGAAAGAGAAGGGTACCCTCGCACTTTGCTCATTTCCGTGGCGGAGGCAATACACAGAAAAAGGAAACGATTGGGCACTGTTTGCAACAGTGATGGCACCACAGCGGAGAAGAGGGAAAAGGTAGCGGTTATTCCGTACATGCATTCTGTGTCACACCGCCTAAAGAAAATAGGACAGCGCCTCAATGTGAAAGTGGTCTTCAGTGCCCCTGATAAGTTGTCCCAGCTGACAAACAGGACCTGCCCCGTAAAGAGTATGAGAAAACGGTGTATGGTGAGGCACAGGACGCAGTTTGTGGACTGCGCGTTAGGCGTCGTTTACAGGACCCCTTTTTCTTGCGGTGCATGTTATGTGGGCCAGACGGGCAGATGCCTTAACGATCGCTTACGGGAACATGCCAATAATGTTCGTGGCGGAAAAGATGGCTTCTTAGCGCAACACGTGAGCACGTGTGGGTGCACTCCGCTGTTTGAAAAAACAACAGTTCTATGCAAGATTAAAGAGGAAAACGTGCGTATAATTTATGAGGCTGCTCAAATGGAGCTTGAAAACAGCGCATGTGTAAGCAAGCCTTCAGTTGCCCTTTCAGATAAAGAGATATGTTTCTTGAGATGCGAGGGTAGGCGCAGCAGGCATGGCGTTAGTTGATAATTTGTATCTTAAAATACGTCATTTTTTTCACTCTTTGTGCTCCATTGCATATTAACGGTCTTCCCGTCAATAAAATTTTAGTTGGAAGTCAGTGCTTGTCTCGTCCCTTTCTTGTCTTTTGTGCTTTTCTCGCGCTGCTAAAACCCAAGCCTCTTTGTAAGTCTCCAGGTTTCTGCTGCGTAGCTAAGTACCGGCAAGATACAGCTGTTATATACCTTCCTCTTGAGGGATAGTGGCAATCTACTTGTCATAATTTGAGAGTGCTTGCCAAATGCCCCGTACACATAGGTAAATTACGCTAAAAACCGGAATGAACTATGGAATGGCCGAAGCGAGAAAAGAACCTTGCATGCACTCACCGTGAAACACCAAGAGCTCCGCTTTTTGGAGTGCTTCACCATCATGTAGGTAGTTTGTAGAAAATATGCCAGTAATATATTTATTTTGTGTTATTTTTCGATTCCTTTCATTTGGTGTTCACAAGGTGCTTCTCTGTGTGCAGGTGTAGGAAGGGGGTGGTGCGATGGAGCTGGCCCTGTGTGCGGCTGCCATCTTTTTGGTGTCATTGGTGGTGGTGTACTTTGTGTCAGTGTTTGGCACCCGCCAGAAGACGTACGAGGAGGCTCTGGCCGAGGCACGCCGGCGATCCCTCGAAGAGGACGTTGCCCTCCAGCAGGCTCGGCAGCACCAGAAGAGGTACAAATTGTGGGGGAGGGGTGCTAATACCTCCTGTAAAGTTGTTTGCTCCGTGTGACGTACGTGTCTTGCGCAGAAGCTGTATTTTAAGGTCACAACTATTGAGTGGTAGGTAGCGTTGCGTTCTCGACGGTTCATTACCGCTATCATCATTATGATTAGATTGGTAGTGCCGGCGGCGACGCTTGGCAGTTCGCCTTGGTGGCGGCGCACAAGAAATAAGCTGGTCTCTATTGGCGAGGGGCAGGGGCGCGGACGGTTGCCTCCAGCGGCGGGTCTGCCGGGGACACCGCAGGCCGTCTGCGGTGGGCCCACGTGGTGAGTCAGGCGTTAGCAACACAGCGACACCACCTTGTTTTTCATGTTGTTGAGTGTTGTTTAATATTGTGTAAGGATGTCTTAGTGTGTTTATCACAATTTATGTTATTCGCTCATGATATCATTTTTTAAAATAGTTAAGTAAATTTAAGTTGTTTGGCTTGGTTTGGTCTGACCGCTTCTGCTGTGTCCGTTCACTTTAAGAGCATGGCGCTTGCCAAATCGAGACCCCACAATCGTCGCGCTGCTCAGTAGGCACTGCTGAACTCGAAAGTGCTGGTTCTGTGGTGGAGAATGAAACATACCTGTCAACTCTTCAGATTTTCTAGTAAAATGTACAAATTTCGATCACGCTTAGGATTTTATGAATTTTGCCTGAAATCTTACAGGAAATGTTTAATTTCAGATAAAAAAATCAAGTTAATAAAATAGTGTGGCCTTCGCGATTGGCTTCTGCGCATTCCCGTAACTAGTCGCAGAGGCCACAAAAACAGCGTTGTGCCGTTTTTTTTTCCACCAACAGGAAAGAACAATATGTATTGGTGTGTATAAGTGGCGCAGTGGCTCCATTTTCACAACGAGAGTGGGAAAGGGCTGAGAAGAGAGTTCCTAGTAGTACATCAACAGGCCCTGACGGTATCCCAATTATGCTGATAAAGGAAAAATGCAGGTCAATTCATTCCAGGCTTTTTGCGACTCCAGCGCATTTTATTATGAACGAATTTGAGAGGCGTTCATCTAAACGTACAGTACAGTCTCGGTGATGTGAAACCAGCAAATACGAATTTGTGAGATCCCCAGCCAAATTAAGGCATTCATTGGGCCAAAATTCGATTGTTTCGAACACTTTTTCCCAATCGCGGTGCTTGATGTGAACTCAAGTACCGAAACCGTTGAACAAAGGCCAATCCAGAGCAGCATGCTCGAAGCTTTTCAAGTACGTTTGTGAGCAGCGCACGCATTGTTCTTTACAGTGCGTGTGATTGTCGTTGCCACAACGGCTGTGGGCGAAACCGCGGCCGTTTGACACGATCATCTATGGCGACCACGTTACTGACAGAACTCAGAAAGTGTACGTGCGTCCAGCGGTCCACCAGTCAAAGCAATGCTGCTTTCCGCAAACTCTGTGAACAAAACCGCGGCAGTTGCGATCGTAGATAGCATAAAACGACTTAGTTTTGAAGGCACATGGATAGCAAGTAAAACTACTGTTTGCCGCAACTGCCGCGCACAAAATCACGGTCGCAGCGATGTGATAGCGATCTACGAACTCTGTGGGCACGTGGCTGAGGCGGCGGTAGATTAAAGGCGGTAAAGACGTAAAAAAGGCTAGAAGCCTTTTGGCGTTCCTGTCCGAACTATGTAGCAGCAAGCAAAGCCAAAGCTTTGACCCGTGCTTTCGCAGCAGCCAGCTGTGCCGTCCCGTCCGTTCATCTGTGAAGACATACACGAGATGTTTTGAAAAATTGATTTTTATTGCTACAATAACTATATAGAGAGTCTGGGCTGGTTTTTCGCCACCACCGTCAATCATTGTATATGTATGCGTATTTATATACAGTCGAGCCCGCTTGTAACGGCCCTGAGCTTGACGCAGCATCCGTTCGCTGTACTCCGAAGTTCGTAGTAAATGAAACACAGTTTTTAAAAAAATTTGCGATTAAAACAAGAAACTTTGTGCTTAAAAAAGTCCGTGATGCACGTGTTTCGAGTAGCAGAAGCGATAAGGGCGGTCCCGACTTTATTTCAAACAGCAGCGTGCTCTTTGCTGAGGCCCGTGGCATAAGCTGCATGAGGCACTGGCTCCAAAGTTTCGTCGTTCTCGCAATCCGATTCCTTCAAATCGCTCTTGACGCGTACTTCATTATGCCCTAATCTGTGCACGGTTCGGCAGTGTTGGCATCATCATCGGCTGTAATGAAACCATCGCAACAGATGTCCCACCCGCTCTCTCACGTCGGAGTCGACGGCGCGCTGCCACGAATTGCCGCCACAGCGGTTCTGTTCGGCAAGTTGGCTTGGCAAGCCAACGCCGAAGTGGCAAGTTGGCTGCCAGGATGTCAACAGCTATGAGTAAGTGCTCTGCAACGTGGCATCTAACACACTGATTACGCCCAAGCCAAGCGGTCACACTTTTGACCTTTTGTTGAGCGGCAGGAAAAAGCGTGCAAGTCCTTCCGTCTGCGTTCTGACCACACAGGAACACCAAGAGCGAGCAAGACCCTCACACGCGACACACATGCCAGAACGTGTGGAACAGCTCTGGGCCCGTTTTTAGTCGAAAAACAAGACTTCTGAATTCGAGCAAGCGTGACTGGTGTCGTGGAGCGGTGGAGACAAGTGAAGGCGTTTTGATCAAAGAGAAGAGCAGATTTGCGAGAGAAGAAAAGCAAAGAGTTGCGATAGAGGGAAGAGAGAGGAGTATACAGCGGGAGGGCGACCTTGAAAACCAAAACATATGAGAAGAAGGCAGGCCGGGTAACTTACTTAAAAGGTCAAAGAAAAGCGCCACTCGCACGTCGAAAAAAAATGGAAAGATTGCCAGCGCGCAGTGAGGTCAAAGCACAGCCGCCTGGATTGGCGTGTGCGGTGGTGTTCATAGAATTGGCGGCTGTGGTCAAAAAATCGTTTGTTATGCCGGCGGGTTTGCATGACCTCACCGACTTCGATATTTCGCGATTAGTTCCGCGCAAATTAACAGCCGTTTTCGTGTTTCCGCACGCATGCGATGGGCATGCTGAGCCTAGTGCGAAGTGAGCGAGAGCAGGTCCTAAACATGTAACGAATCGAGAATTATCAGAATCGGTAGGGTAGCGTACGTGCGTGCACTAGATGCAGACGATCGTATGGAGTTGGTGGCCGACGACTGGACTCGCCCTACGCCATCTCCTGACGCCGATCAGAGCTCTCGTCGAGTGGTGCCCCGTCCTTGGACTCCTGCGACGGTGTCTATCTTTCCTATTTTTTCTTTACTTCCATCGCTCGCTGTCCCTGCGCCTCGCTTTCTCTGCGCCTCGCTTTCTCCTTCCTCTCTCTGTATATACCTTTTAACCCTATTCTTTTAATATCTCCTTACCCCTACCCCTTTGTGAGCTATTGTTGAGATGTCGCACGCTGATGCAGACAGTTACGGGGCTCACTTTTCTCTTCTTTTTTCTTTAAGAACCACATAAGACGATGTTGGCAAATGGTCTGGTCACTCCAGGACGGCTACGCCAACGACAGTACCAGCGATCAAAAACAGAGGAGATGGCGGATTGGTCTTTGAAATATCGGTGGCAGTGTGAAAACACGGGCCTCACCTGGCAATGCAAGGTGCTCAGAGTAGCGGGGGGTACGAAGGATGGAGGGGTGCATAACAAAAAGCGGTCGGGGAGAGCGGCAACTAGAGGGGCACGGAGGCAGGGTCGGTGTTTAACAATAAGAATGTATGGGCATCTCGCCGATGCCTGATCGGGGGCCAAAGAGGTTTCCCGGGAAGTCTGCAGAGTGCTGACCCCATTCGCTGTAACCGATCGGCGGCGCTCGGAGAAGTTCGTTGTAAGTGCGATTTTGTGCCATTAAACCAATGTATATTTTTACAGTCGCGGGGATATTGTTTGTTTTAAGTGAAAGTTCGTTTGAAGTAAAGCCGTTATATGTGGGCTCGACTGAAACTCCAGAAAGAAAAAAAAAATTAAAAAATGCTGCTCGTGCTTGGCACCCAGCTCATCACGACGTGCCTACGCACACTTTTCTCCCACGCGTACTTTGCCTTGCAAAGGGGGGAAGGGGGGGAGAGGGGAAAAGTGGGTAGATGCTTGTGAGCGCGTGCTTATCTTTCGGTGGAGAGAATCGTGTCTACGTTTGGCTTTCACCAGAGCATTGCGTTAGTTGCTGGGCCCACAAAGGTCACTTCTCTCGCTGCTTTGTGACAAGAGCGCGCTTTTCATTCACAGCGAAGTATAGCAACTGGGGCACTTGTTAGTTTCCACTCGTCAGTACTTGTGATTATGTTTTGTGTGTTTGTTTTTGTTTAAACAACTTGTCAATATAGAGCGGTTAACCTTGTTAGTTTGCTCTCCTCCTGTGTATGTTGTTTTCGTGCATCATTTCTGCATGAGCAGTGCGCTGCACGTTTAGATCTGCTAGCCGTTCTCAGAGTTACATTTCAAGTAGTTGCTATCACATTCATTGCTTCGCCCTTGCGGGGAAACGGTGACTTATCTTGCCAATTGTTTTGATTACTCGAAACTTCAGGAGCTATTGCGCTCTCCCTTTGAGACTCTCACCTTAGTGGGAAACCCTATCCTCGGTGTGTTCGGTCACTTGAAACCATTATAATACCGCAATGCCGATGTTTGCGCTTGCGTTTGGTCCCACCCTCTCCTCTTGTTTAGCACATTTTTTTTGTTCTTTTGGTGCCGAAAATATGGAAAATAATTCAGCGTGTCGATTTGACATATGGCGGCAAAAGATGATTATGCTTATTGTTAAAGGCAAATTCATTACAGCTACAAATAAAAAAAAGTCTGCTTGTTCGAATTGTTTTGGCTTTCCTGATGCATGCGTGCCAGTTAACTACGTAACTCTGCGGACAAGCAGCATTCGCTACCGTGGTAGCCGATCTTTTCCAGTTGTGCGCAACTCATAGCAAACTCAGTTGGCACTGTTACTGCGCAGGGGCTTGCTGGGCCGTACAC